GGGATAGAGAAATGAATTGGCCTCAGTTCTTAACCTGTTCCAGAAGCATTTACACTGGCTCCCAGCCCTGTCTCATTCAAGGGTCCTGACCTGAACAAAACCTCAAACCGAAAGTTTTCATCATTTTGGTTCTCAAAAACATTCTCAAAAAAAGCAAAAAAAAAAAAAAAGAGGGAGAAGGGGGTTGATGTTTGATTCTGTGCTTTCTTTCCCAAACACTCACTTAAATCCCAGTTCTGAAGTTGTCCCAAATTCAATTCCAGGAAATTAACAACCCACTTGTGACAAGTCTAAGCTCCATTTCATAGACCCAGACAGATCCACAAGTTCTCACACAGATCAAGGGTCAACATGAACCCTCTGTTCATCTCCCCAATGCACTCATTCCTACACGGCACATGCCAATGTACCTATTTGTAAAAGGAAGGGGAAATCAAATCTGAAACCCCTTTCCCAGATTCCCAGCAGACCAACCCCCTCACTCAGTGTAACCTTGATTGGGTCATGGATAGCCCCCAGGTGCATCCAACCTTAACCAAACACAACTAATGTGAACATAATTCAAAAAGTGTAGGTTGTCTGACTGATTGGAGAGTCCAGATGAGCCATCAGGGTCACACTTCAAAAACTGACAAAACAGTGTGATTTTCAAGGTCCTGAAAATTTCCAATCGCTAACCCCTACCCGAAGACCATCTCCACAGATTCTCGGACTTCTGTTAGACATTCTTTCTCTAAAGCCAAATACAGTGTGTCAAAAATTAAATATAGCCTCTTACCCCATAAGTATACTCAAGTATGAGCAATTTTTTCAGATAATTCCCCAAGAGCAAGTTTTTATTGAAAAGAGAGTTTTTGTTATCACAAGAGAGTCACTTGGTTTTACAGGAGACAAACACTTATCCTAGAGTCATCCTTGCTGGTGATTTTCAATGTACAAATATTGGCTCAAAAGGAGATCTTGTATAAATAGTAACTGCCTTCCTTTCCTAGCCTAAGAATCAGAAAGGCTTCCAGCAAAGTGGAAATGTAGGATGTCTGTAATTCTCATAATGCCCAGTAAGAACTAGCATGAGGCACACTTAGCCTTTTGATATCAGGACAACTTACCTACAGGAAGGTGACTGGTGGTTGTCATGGAGATCTGGGCCCGGCAGAAAGTTTTGCTGTCCAACAAATCTGTAGCAATGAAAAGATAAAGGATATTGAAAGCCCCCTCCGGATGACAGAACTATTTGGCTATTAGAATAAGAAAATGAGGATGTGAAAGAGCATTAAGTGCTGGGGAGTTAGTTACCTACTGTGCTACCATAGTTGGTGTCATATAAATAGTTTTCTTCTTTCCAGGTGTTCATGATGGAAGGGTCTGCAAAGGACAGAAAATGGGAATGGTCAGCAATTGTCATCCCTGGGGGAAGAGTTTTCCTTTTCTAACTCACTGCTCATCAGAGAAGCATGAGGCGTAGGGGGTGGTCCCCAAAGAGAAGGGATACAATTCTGCTTCAGCCACGTTACTTTATAATAATGCTACCCCATGTTTCTTCCAGTGTCCTGGGGAAATGGACTTTGTTATAGCTCTATCCATGTGTTCTGCACCTCTTGCATTTTGGGGAAAGTTGCAACAGTGAGATCCTGTCCTAGACCAATGCTTGGGTTTCCTGGGGAATTTTTTTCGTCTGCAAACAGCAGGGGGTAGGGTAGGTTCAGGAGCCTGGTGTGGTCTTGCATTCTACTATATAATGACCAGAATATTTTTACACTAGAAAAAGAAATTGTTAGCGACAAATAGATTCATGATTAATGAGCATCTTTTTCCAGTAATATGTCCCTGGGAGAATTAACGATGTTTCTGCCAGAAAAAGTTTAGTCAGATAAAGATCATAGTGTCTTTATTGCTGCAAATCCAGAGAGATGTCTCCTCAAGTTGGGTGAGAAATCCCTCCCTCTAGGATTTCTCCAATTAGCTTACAGGGCAACATAAAATTCTCAAAACACAAATCCAACAAACAACTTTTAAGAGTAGGGCTCCATTGTCTCATCTTGCAAAAGCACCTCTCTCTCTCAGCAAGCATGTCTCACTCTGATTGACTCCAGATTTCAGATTCAAAGGAAACTCCCCTCCACCTACCCCAAATGAAGCCCAACTCCTACACAGCCCCACAGCTGGGCTAGTCTCCAACAGAAGCATTTTCTTTCCTGGCTGGCCTAGAGCTGCAAGACCTGGCAAGGAGTTCTCACCTCATCCCCACAGGAACTCCCACCTTTCTTCTCTTCACAGATCAAGGCTGCCCTGGGCTCCCCTCCTGCCCAGGTTCTGAATTTCTGGGCCGGGCCGGGTGGTAAGCCACTGGCCGAGTTTCATTTTGTTTTTACAACATAAAAGGTATAAAACCTGAGTCACTGGCTAAGTCCTCTTGTTTACGACACAGGGATTTAGCTGGTATTTTAACTAATAGCTACGTGTTTGGGCACCCCAAACCCAATCTCTCGGGGTTACACCCTCTCTCCTTGTTGGGTCACCTCGTACACCTGTTGTTGTCTCTGAAAACAAACTGAACCAAAAGACTTGGAGGTGTTGGCCCCTCTGTGAGCCTCTTCTCCCCTCCTCCCTGGGTGGACCTTCTCCACCCTTTGGCTTAGCTTTTCTGAACTGGCGACACAAGAATGTCTGGATAGTTGAGGAGGAATTATCAAGTTATTTGGGACCTCTCTGCACCATTCTGGCTACGGTGGGGTTACCTGTCAGGTCACTGTGGGGTGGGGCGCACCATCGCTGCTGAATTTTGTGTCTGCCTCTAGGGCAATCAGACCCACAGAGCACAGACAATCCAGGTAACCCCACCCCTGGTCTGTGGGGGAAGGGCAGGGCTAGGAAAAGCTAATTAACATGCTTAGCAGCTATTGTTTTTTCTTTAATAATGGTAGACTAGCCCCCTTATAAAAGAGCAAATAACTGCATGGGGCCAATTTGGGTTCTGAGTGACTCACAAATCACCCCTGGGTGAAATTCTGTCCTTAGCGACTGGCACTCAACCCTCAGGCAGGCCTGTGGCAAACTCGGTTGGCCCTCATGGCTTGCAGCCTCACTGATGAGGACCTGGGGAGCGGCCCTGGAGCAGTGGCAACTACACAGTTTCGGGGTGCCCAGTGAACTTGGGAGACTTGCACAGGTCTCCTTAGACCAAGGGGCTATAGGCCAAAGGTCAATGTGCAAGGAGCTCTGGTTGGTGCAAGGCCACAGGGACAAATTCTAGGCAAGTACTGCCCCCTGCAAGACTAGGGGGGAGACCAAAAGCGCCCAGGTGAGAGGCGGGGACAGAGGAAGGAGAACAAAAACGAATATAGATACCGTGGGACTGCCGACCCCACTCAGAGCCCAGAATAGCCTTTCATCTAAAAGTGCACATAAGGGAGGAGCTGGGTTCCACAGCTGCCTTTGACAGCACCTCTTAGAGCCCCTAGAAACCACGACAAGTACAACAGCAAGCCTGCAGCTTCCTCTTTTCTGTGAAACACTCCATTG